ATTTCCCAATTTTCTCATTCCCTTTTTTTGATTGTCTTTCCAGATTATTATTTACTGTGCCATTAAAGTCTCCCGCCATTATCACCTGTTCATATGTCAGTTGCTCCAGTTGCTTTGCCAAGTCCTTAAAAAAATGTCTCTTTCGCCCCATTGGGTGCATATAAATTGATTAACAAAGTCTTCTTTTGGTGGATTTCAATTTCTACTCCAATGTATCTTCCCTCAGTATCTTTAATTATTTCTTTTTGTTATAGCTCTTTATTGACATAAATCACAGTTCCCTTTTTCTTTTTGGTATCCAACGAGTAAAATTCTTCGCGTAATTTTTTATTAATAAGAAATTTAGCATCTTGCTTTTTGATGTGGGTTTCCTGAAGACATATATTACATTTTTGTTTTCCTAACCAATTTTAACAATTTTTCTTTTGTTAGGCGAATTTAGTCCATTTACATTCCAAGATAAAATTTGTAATCCATAGTGTCTTGTATTATATCTCTCCAAATTCTTCAATATTGTCCGCCTTAAACCTAAACAGTTCTTCAACATTTTTAATGACGTATCTTGATCCTTGATAGGTGAAAGACAGACCTTGTGGTATTTCCCATCTGAATCTGATTTCAAGTTGTTTTAGTTTGTCAGCCAATTTCTTGTATTTCCTTCTATCCTGTAAAACCGACCTCGGGAGTTCCCTCATTATAATTATCTTCTTACCATCTATCTCCAATGGATCAGTAAAATGGTTTTTAAAAATATCTTCTTTCATTTTTTTCGTAACCAGTTGTACAATCACATCTCTTGGTAAATTCTTCTTCTCTGCATATCTTGAGTTAACTCTGTATATTAAATCAAATCCAAACTCTAATTCCCCATCTTCACCTCCCAGGTACTCTGTTGATGCGGTTATCACCACTTCTCTTATATCTTCATCCAACTTTTCTTCAATTCCTCTTAGTCTCAGATGGTTTTGCATTCCTCTGTACTCCATCATGGTCTCCAGTCTTTGATACTCTTGGGTTACTAATTCTTGTTTTTTATCAAAGTGTTGCACTTTTTGTTCCAGTTCGGATGTTGATGTTGCCAGACCTTGAACTTCTTTTTTAACCTCTACTACTTCTTTCTTAAGTTCTGTTACCTCGGATGTAACTAACTCTTTGATAGCTGCCAGGTTCTTTTCCTGTACTTCTTCCAGGTGGACTATTTGCTGTTCCATATGTTTTCCCAGTGCTTGGATCGCATCAGTCATTCTCTTCTCCATAGCTTCAATTGCAGCCTGCCATTCTTTTTTATCCTTTTCCGACATCTTGGGTGAAGATGTAGATGCAGCCCTTGCTCTCTGTCTTAAATCCATTTTGAAAACTTTTGTCAAAAATTTTGCTACAAAATTTAAAAATTTTATATTGTCTAAGTCCTTTCTATGTGCTTATTCAAATTGCCTTACTAACGCAGTTCTTAGTTTCGATTAAGCGCTTAAAAATAAAATTTAACTCTTGGTCCTCCTCAAAATGTCGGGCGCAATTTCTCTATGGAATTCTGGCAAGAGTAGGCACGTTCTTTACCTTGCAACTTCCTGTGCAACCGCTTATTCAAATTTCCGGTGTATGGCTTTTTGCCTACCGATCACCTTCCGGTCTTCAGGAGTCTTCCAGTGCCTCTCTATCTTCTCTCTTGTCTTCTCAGTACTGTGTTCCAGCCGGAACTTTAATAGTGCAGCACCGTCCCCCTCCCTCTCGCGATCTTTTGCAACTGTTTCGGGATCTTAGGCCACCATTTATCTCTCTCTCTGGCCACAGGAATGTTAAACAAAGTTATTTTTCTCGATTTTAAAGCTGTTCAAGAAAGTTCTATCTTCCGAAAATGGGACGAAAAGTTCTTAAGGACTTTTGTGCGCTTAACCATTTACTTTAAAAAGCTTTCAAACTTGATTCCGGTAAGCTAAACGGCTTTGTTACCTTGCATGTTTGTCATGGGTTCTGCGTTGCTTCTTTAAAGTTTGACTTGTTCCTTGGTTTCAAGAGATCGGGTAACGGCAGATTTATGCTGGTATTCCAGCTCGATCGGCTTCTGAAGTGCTGATTCACATACGCCCGCTTCGTGGAAGGAGATAAAAGTGTGACACAAGCCTCTTCCGAGACTTGATCACGCCGATCTCAACTCCCCCTTGGGCACTGCTGCTTGCTTGTCAATCCCCCTGCCTGGGGGTTGCTGTGTTGGGCTGGAATGAGCCCAAACTGTCAGAAGAAGGATGCGTTAATTCGCCATTTTCCCCGACCGGAAGCCCCTTTTCTTCTCGTTTTTCAACTTCCGTATCACCTATGTTCCTCATACCCATAACCAGAAAGCAGATGTGCTCTCTTGAAAGCCTGAGTACACCCCCACTTCAACTGAAGAAGCCCCCGCCACCACCATCCTGCCATTTTTGTTGTTTGTCGCCACTACGACTCACCTGACCCTGGCAGATTGTGGACCTTTTCACCAAAATGGCCCACTTCGTCCCATGCCCCAAACTACCCACAGCTCAGGAAACTGCTCAGCTCTTTCTGCAGCACATTTTCCGTCTACATAGAATTCCAGCCCACCTGATTTTCAATCAGGGCACCCAGTTCACCTCCCGTTTCTGGCAGGCCCTCCACTCCTGCCTAGGTATCCGGGTCCACCTATCCTCCACTTAACACCCAGAGTCGGACGGCCAGAGGGAGCCTATAACAACTTCATGCATTTGTCCATGCAGTAAACACAGTTCACCGCGAACTATGGGTACCACCCTTGGTTCTTCCCATCGGTCCTTTCACCCACCAACGTTGCAGCAGCAGATGCCTATCTGCAAGAACTCCACGCCCTCCAGGACCTGCTCCAGGAACAACTATAGTGGGCTACGGAGGTGTGTAAAATCACGGCTGACTGCAAGCAGCAGGAAGGCCCACCACTCAAACCTGGGGACCATGTCTGGCTATCAACTTAGTATCTCTGGCACAACGGCCGTTCACACAAGCTGGATGCCCGTTTCATCGGACCATTCCTGATAATGGAGAAAATCAACCCTGTTGCTTTCCGACTCCAGTTACCTCCTACCCTCCAGATCTACCCAGTGTTCCACTGGTCACTCCTGGTGCCAGCCACGGCCCCTGACCCAGCTCAACCACCACCACTGTCATTGCCACCGCCGATGCTAGTCAACGATGAGGAAGAATATGAGGTACGGCTATGGGCCCGACGACCGGTCCTGGGAGCCCACTGAAAACCTCCATGCCCCAGACCTGGTGCAACAGTTCCATGACTCGTACCCAGATAAGCCCGGCCCTCCTGACAGGTGGGGGCCTTGGGGGAGATACTGTAGTGAGCGATGATGACGGCACTGAGTCCCTGCCTGAGTTGGCATCACAGCCAGAGGCGCCAGCATTGTCAGAACCAGAAGCTGGCCCCTCTGACTCTTCACAAGTTGATAGCTTGCCAGCACCTAAGCCTGTAAACCCCACACCTGGTCCTGCAGCAGCCGAGGAGGCACAGGTGCCTGACTCACCTCCACGGGTGGTTCAGCTAAGGGAGTGGCTCCACAGAGACTTAGCCACCCGTTGTCGAGATGCACGCTGGCAGGGATGGTGAGCGCTGAGTCCTGACTATTAGCAGGAGTGCCACTGCCGCCATGGGAAGCCCGGCCAGAGGCTGATATAACTCCCACTCAAAATTGGTCTCTCATGGAAGCAACGAGTCACCTCTGTGCATGCCTCGCATCCACCTTTGGCTCCTGTCCTCAGACCCCCACGCTGGCTTGAGTTTCTGGCTCCCTGACCCCTTCTTTGGACAACCTCTTTCAGACTTATGATTTGGCTCCTGCTCTGACTCTCCTGGCAACGACCCTGGACTGGACTTGACTTCTGCCTCTCATCCCAAGCCCAGCCCGTGACAACAGCCACCAGATTTGCCTTTAAATTATCAATAAAACTGACTTTATCTATCTGGAATTTGGCAGGAGGATCCCTTTGGTGATAGGTACAAAACCCTGAAAGGTGGCTCAGAGGTTAAGATGCTGAGCTGCAGACTGGAAGTTCGAGACCCTAGTGCTGCGTGATGGAGTGAGCTCCCGTCTCTGACTCCAGCTCCTGCCAACCTAGCAGTCTGAAAGCCAGTCTGAAAGCAAGAAATTGCAGGTAGGCAAATAGGTACTGCTTTGATGGGAGGGTAACAGGATTCCATGCTCCTCGGCATTTAGTCATGCCAGCCACATGACCACAGAGAAATCTTCAGACAGCGCTGGCTCTTCAGCTTGGAAACAGAGATGAGCACCACCCCCTAGAGTCAGATTTGACTGGCTTTCGAGCAAGGGAAACCTTTAACTTTTACAAAATACTAAGGGGGAAAAATCATCCAAACTGGATTGGAAAAGAAAGAATTTACAGTAAGAAATGTTCTTCATTAAAACCCACAGAAATGAAAACAAATATCATGAAAACAAGTCAAATGGCAAATACAATGAAAATGAACAAAGTTTGTGAAATAAGAAAAAGCAAACAAAAAGCCTGCATATCCCTAATAGACCTTAAGTGAGTCGAAAGGTGAGGTAGATTTCAGTCTAACATATAGCGCTTATTGACCCCATGGTTCACAAACATAGATGGAACATTCCCCCTAGAAGTACAAAATAAATATCTTCCTTTTGGCCCATACGATATTATTAACATCTTGCTGACTTTTTCTAATGCAAAATCCAGCTCCTGCAACATAAAGCCCTTAGCTTCTGCAGTTTTATCCTGTGAGAGCAGAATGACTCATGAAGGGATTGGCTTTCTTTTGAATTGGCACATCACATCAATGGTTCCTCTGAATGTTTCCCAGGGGCATTTGCCAACATTCACCCAACAGGTATACATATGGTCATGTTGCAAGCATTTAATGCATTAACCAAAAACAATGTAAAATGTATCATCAGACTTCTTTGTAGAGGACACAAGGATCCAGGCACCGTTTGACAATACAATCAAGTCAAAGATATTATTGCACTCACGCAGATATAAGCCCTGTTGCTCTTCCTCGTAGATCTCTGTATTCCTGCCAGGATTCCATATTAGCTCGTTGTGGTGTACAACCTTCTTCCCGGAGAACGTGGGCCACCATGTCTCCATCTGCAATGGATACAACTAGTTGGGGACCAAAATGAGACTTGAAAATTTTTCCATATTCTTGAGCATGTTTTCGCTATAAACAAAACAAAACAAAATATTCATTGTTGTTGACAAGAAAAACATTCTTCTGCAGCAGTTAATTCTGATCTTCATGGACCACAGTGATATGAAGTTGGAAATAAACTACACAGAGCTCCGGCAGGGAGGGCAGGGTATAAATTGGAAAAATAAATAAAGCTGTAGTTCTGATAAGAGCTGTTCTTGAAAAAGAGCAGTTTCTGTCAGAGCTCTCTCAGCCCCACCTACCTCACAGGGTGTCTGTCTGTTGTGGGGAGGGGGAAAGAAAGGAGTTTGTAAGCTGCTCTGAGACACCCTTGGGTAGTGAAGGGTGGGGTATAGATCCAATCTCTTCTCTTCTCTTCTTCTTCTTAAATAAATAAATAACCCAAACATAGCAGAACGTCAAATCCTGGAGAATGTTCTGCATTTCATAAACCCCGATTACATCTCACTTTTCAAAGTTCATTACAGCTTCTTTTCAGTCTTTTCAAATTCTGTCATCAGCTTTCATTCCAGCCTACAACACAGGAGACAGGTTTACCTCCTCCTTTCTCTATCAAATACAAATGTTACTGCATCTTTAACAGTTTTACAGAAGAGCGAATGTTGGGAGATATAGCTTGATATGCTGGGATCTTGAAAAAGAGCAGTTTCTGTCAGAGCTCTCTCAGCCCCACCTACCTCACAGGGTTTCTGTTGTGGGGAGGGGAAGGGAAAGGAGATTGTAAGCTGCTCTGAGACATCCTTGGGCAGTGAAGGGCGGGGATGAGAACTGGCACCTGCTAAAATACCTTCTTAAGCACAATTACTGCCATCTATTACCGTCATCTATAATATTTTAAATGAACTCATGGCATATATGGGTTCCTTTGGTGTAGCCAGTTTGCTGCAGTGGTTAAGATGGTTTGATTCCCCACTCCTCCTCCACATGAAGCCAGCTGGGTGACCTTGGGTCAGTCACGGTTCTCTAAGGGTTCTCTCAGCCCCACCTGCCTCACAGGGTATCTGTTGTGGGGAGGGGAAGGGAAGGGAAGTAAAAAGTGGGGTATAAAAACCAACTCTTTTTCTTACTTCATCCTCATAACAATCCTGTGAGGTAGGTTCCGCTGAAAGAGCAACTGCCTCTAATTTTTGCTTGCCACAGAGACTTATGGGATCCAGTTGGATTCCAAGATGTTCTGCAGCATTTATCAGGGCCGGTCGGCAGTTCCCTTAATGAGACTACCAAAAATTGGAATAATGGTCTTTGGTCGGCCATTGATTGAATTGCTCCCCAATGCCCTCTGTGCCCTCAGTCTTCTCCTGCCCAGGGGTCATTTCCTGCAGGAGCGCACAGGAGCGGAGCTCCGGCAGTGAAGAGCCCAGGGAAGAGCCCTCAGTCAGAGGAAAAAGCAGCCAGGTAAGTTGCAGAGCCCCCCCCCCGACCCCCCAGTCCAAAACAGTCCAGTGGCACCTTTAAGACCAAGTTTTATTTGGGTACAAGCTCTCCCTCCTCTGCGAGGAAAGATCTGCACATTCCCCCCCCCCCCAATAGCTAGCAATCCAAAACAGTCCAGTGGAGCCTGAGCAGTGGGTGTTGCCTTCTGACACACTTCCGGTGATGTCAGGGGGTGTGGCATATGCAAATAAGTTATGCTAATGAGTAATGCTAATGAGCTTCTGCACCTCTTTTTCTACAAAATGACCCCTGCTCCTGTCCCTTTGTTTACTGGGGAGGTGAGAGATACAAAGAGGTTGCTCAGACAGCTAGAGCAACCCTGGTAACAGTCTTGTTACAAAGTAGCAAGAACATGCTATAAAGCTCAGTTGAAATCCTATGAGACGGCAGTGAAGGTAGCAAAGAAGTCTTGCTTACCTGCATCCATTGTGTCCGCTAGTTCACAGGCAGCCCAGTTATTTAGGATCATTTGGAATCTGACTTCCCAGAAAGTGGAGTCCCAAACTGATAATAATTTGGTATTCAGCTGTGATGCTTTTGTGAACTTTTTCGCAGGAAAAAAATCTCACAACTCTGCCATGACCTCACCGCCAGCTTGAAGGCTCTCCAGTGACTCCATCGGGTCCTGTTTGGGGGCCACTTCCACTTGCTCACCTAACAGGATGCTGACACGACTCTGACGGCTGTGAAGCCTACAACATACTCCTTGGATTCTTACCTCTCTTGGCTGGTGAAAGGCAGCTGAGAAGTGGTAAGAGGCCCCCTGAGGGAGATTATTAATCAGTCTCTCTCTCAGGGTTGCTTCCCTGGGCCCTTGGAGGAGGCTGTTGTCCACAGTATCTGGAAAACTGTCCATTGGTCAGCTATCGTACCCGTACATAGGCTGAGTTCAGACTGGCAGTTTGAAGCGCAAGGGAGTCGTGGCAAAAAAAGACCCGAACAACTTGTTCCAGGTTTTCCCGGTCACACGGCACCGACTGATGCAGGAGCGTACTGGGGAGGAGGCGCAATGGAGCGTTCACACTGCTGGCCCACCCCTGGTGGAGGAGTGGCTGTAAGGCGCAGCTTTCTTTTTGGTAATTCGGTCACAGTTCCACAGGGCCGTGAAAACAGAGCTTTTTAGGCAGGCATTCCGTTAGGAGTGGCGTCTTACCAGCAGTGCCCTGTGTGAACTCCGATCCGACACGACTTAGCGCGGCGGCACCGCTGAATGTGTCCTTAAATTGCACTGTGTTTTTATCGCCATCGAAGTGATGTTTTAAATTGATTTGTCTGTGTTTTGAAATCATTTACTTCGTTTTTATCAATTGTAAAATGTATACTGTTTAGCAGTTTTGTGGAAGCCGCCCTGAGCCTACCTTGGTGGGGAGGGCGGGGTGAAAGTTCAATAAATAAATAAGTGCTTATGCGCATCAGCAATTGTGGCTTTTGGCATTCACACTTCCGGGAAGCGGGATGAACGCGCTCTCCAGGGTTTGCTACCACTTTCACCAGGTACTTTTTAAATTCGGGAGGGAAGTCTTACAAGATGGGCTGAGTACGGCTCGGGAACGCCGGACAGCTGTGCCTGTGTGAACGGCCCCTTTAATCCATTCGAGAAACGTTTCTGAAACATGCCTCTATCAGGCCAAACTGCCAGTCTGAACTCAGCCGTAGTAATGGGGAATACTGTGGTATGAATTATCTTCAGAGGTCATTTCGGGGGGGATCACGGGGGAACGCAGTTCCCCCGGGTGAGGTGCAGGGGGCGGGGCACATGATGAAGCCCCGCCCCCTGCTTTCGGCCGCCCCGCTTCCAGCCCTCATTCAGCCAGGAGGAGGCAGGAGAAGAGGGAGGGTAAGTTGCTTCCTCCCTGCCTCTCCCCACCCCTGCCTGCCTGGGGCCAGGGAGGGCCTTCACAGGGCTTCTTCGCACTCCCGCTGGCCTTGCAGGTCCACCGCCGGGCCCCTGATATCAGGGGGTGTGGCATATGCTAATGAGTTATGCTAATGAGTTCCCCTAGCTCTTTTCCTATGAAATGACCCCTGATTATCTTGATCTTGGTCACCAGCATCACATCCTTACCCTTAACATTCCTTTCTAGCTCCTTCATGGCTGTCCTTCCCAGTCTCAATCTCCTTTTGACAGAGCGAGCTTGCTCTAGTAGTTAAGCACAGCAGATTGTAGAACACATTAATATGAATGTACCACCATCTTTAAGTAATTATATATATCTAGCTATCACTTTATTTTTATTTTTATTTGAATAATTTCTTTATTGGTTTACAAACAAACAAACAAACAAAGATAGATTACTTAAAGCAACAGAACCATTCAGCATACCACAAATTACCAATCAAATTTTCATAAATCTTATCTGTCCATAAATTTGTACATATTTTTCTTAATACATAGAACATATCATTCCCAACTTTCCATACAGGGTCTTCTTATTTGTAACATATTTATTGATCAGTTTCCACACATTCATCCCATTAACTCATGTTATCTAAATCGCCTCCTAGACAGTCTTTACCCAGCAATAACTCAGCAAAAGCTTACTTCAGCCTAAATAATATTTTTATCATCCTAAGCATGACCACAGATACTGCCAATATCATTTTAATATGCACGTAATTTTGAAAGCTACCAAAAAAGATAAAGTAAAAATACAACTAAAAAACAAAAGAAAACAAGACAATTTTGCCCTAGAATACTCTAACCTTCTGATAAACCAGTTTGGTGTAGTGGTTAAGTGCGCGGACTCTAATCTGGGAGAACCGGGTTTGATTCCACTTGCACCTGCTGATGTGATCTTGGGTCAGTCGCAAGCTCTGGTACATCTGTCCTTGAAAAAGAGCATTTTCTGTCCGAGCTCTCTCAGCCCCACCCACCTCACAGGGTGTCTGTTGTGGGGAGGGGAAGGGAAAGGAGTTTGTAAGTCGCTCTGAGACACCTTTGGGTAGTGAAGGGCGGGGTATAAATCCAATCTCTTCTTCTTCTAATAAACAGGATTGCATTAAACTGGTTTTATCTATGTTCACAATTGTTATTTATATTTTGTCCTTTGTAAGCCGCCCTGAGCCTGCCTCGGCGGGGAGAGTGGGGTATAAATTGAATAAATAAATAAATAAATAATTCTTAAGAAACCATCTCTATATAAGAAAGACCTAGCCAAATAAGCTAATTACCATCCAGTGACAAATTTACCATTCCTGGGAATGGTAATAGAGACAGCAGTGGCTGGACAGCTTCAGGTTTTCTTGGATGAACCCTCTGCACTCGATACTTTCCAATCCAGCTTCACGCCTGGTTTCAGGACTGAGACTGCACTTGTAGCTCTGGTGGATAACCTCCGCCAATGACTAGATCAAGGCAGTTTAGTGCTGCTGATTTTATTAGATCTGTCTGACACTCAGCGCTTAGGATGAAATGAAATACAATTTCTCTACTGCATTTAACAATGTTATTTTATAATAGCTAATAACACTTCCACATTTGTTACATATTCTTTCTTCCATAAACACACCAAAAGTACAGAAAAAAGAAGTGGGTTGACAAAACTCCCCAGAGCTGATTTTCGTTTCGTTCACAA